AGGACTACAAGTCAGACTCAAACCTGGGTCGCCCGTTTGGAGGACTCCATACATGGGTCGTGCGCACTAACTACTGCGCAACCAAAGCATGCCCAGAATTACATTTTACATATCTAGAAATGTTTACACATTTTAAGTAGCCGTTCTGCCATTTATCAGCTTGACTGAAAATGTATATCTGAAAAACATTTTTTCATAGTTAAAATAATACAAATGCTGCCCATTAATATTGAGAATATAGAGAACTGAAATTGAATTTAAAGACATCCAGAATATTTATTCTAGATGTGGAAAATTTCATTTTGTTTGAAATGTTAATTTAGACAAAGAAAAAAATGTTTTTATTGAGATAATGAATACATTTTCAGTAAAATTAGTACATATAAACGGCTTGCCCTAGCCTGTTGTTACCGAGATAATATTACGTGATTATTTCTTAAATAGCAGTAGATCATTATATCTATTTAGGTGAAATCTTCTGGCAGCAGGTGAAAATGAAGTCTAAAAATGTTGTTCTAACATATAGAACCTGTGCATCATCTCATGGGTTCCTCTTCATGTTGATTCAGTCTTCTTTTACAGTAAATACTGAGTGGCTGTTTGCAGCCTCTTCAGATATTATCATCCCAGTAAATGATTGTTATTACAGCTATCAGGCCCATAGAATGGCCTCAGATTGTGCCAGTAGGCTCATTAGGTTGTTGTCATCCATTAAATCCTAACCCTAAAGTAATTCCTTTTCCTCCGTGGAATTAATACCGGTACATCTATGTGTAATCTGAAAATAATTTCAGTAGTTCTTCATGTACTCTAAATATAACTAAATAAAATAAAATGATCTGCATCTCGATCATATTAAATGTACTGTGGAGGATGTTTTTTTTTTCCAGGTGGATCATCAATATAAGTGGTCCTCCTAATTTCCAATCATTTTAGTGATATGTTAACGTAAGGCCATCCTACCTGCTCCTCCCCATTTTCACTTAACGATGGTGAGTCTGACATACAGGAAAAACTGCAAATCTTCTTTTGGAAAGTGACCTTGTATGAGTGATGCAGACATTAACTTTCAAAAAATTTTTGAAAATCCTCCACAATACCTTTAAACAAACCAAAATCAATTAATCTCATATTCTGTCAACTGAGTTGTAGAAATCTCTCCCTATAAATATTTAATTTGATTGCAGATCAGTCTTTAATACGATCCTCGGCAAACGGACATGCAATGTTTGCTTTAAAATCTGATTTGTTTAATGGATGGACTGATACATATATCTTTTATGAACAAAACTACAACAAAAATGTCACTAAATAATCAGGAAATAAAACAGGTTGATTGGCTGTAAAGAAAGAGGAGACAGAGGACACTGAGTTTACTGCAGAAAACCTGCTGCTGACCAGCTTAGCTCTGGGAGGATGTTACTATGGCGACTGAAACAGGGGTTGAGGAAACTTTATGAAATGAAAAAATTTCCCTGATTTCAGGTTTTGAAAACTTCAGTAAACCTGCTTCATGAAACAGAACCCTGGTCTTAGGAATGAACGGATCAGTTCTTTGGCCATAATAAATGATTGACCTCTTTTTTCATTCAGAGAAATCTTGACCAACTAAGCAGATACTTAACAAAGCTACTTTCTTTCCTTAAAACGTTGAGTTAAAAACCTTAAAAAGTTTATTTGGAGGGTTCAAATTTTTACATTTTTGATCATTTTTGATCAGCTTGACTAATCCCATTTTATTTGCTTACAAACAACCACAGCTGCCCGAAGTGCTGTACAGAAAAAAAAAAATGAAATAAAACAGTACAGATAAAAACAAAACCCCTAAAACATTGGTTAAAAATAATATTCACACAATCATAAATTTAATTTGTGTAAAAAGATAAAAGGAATAAAAGAGGAAAAATGAAACAAAGCTTTAATCTTCAGTGACTCATGGAAAATGGAGGGACGTTAAGCAGGAAAATCTGCACGGCTGGTTTTAAAAAGCTGTTCTCTGAGCCCTAAGACCTTAAAATGAAAATGTTTATTCCTGAGACCTGACAGCTTTATTTGCTTAAAC